ATAAATCTTATTTTGGATTTTTAAAATTTGCTGTTTTGAATGAGGAGTAACCTCGCCCTGATCTTCTCAACAGACAGGTATATAAACTGTCTTTGGCCCTATTCTTTGCCTGTTTGGGTGCTGTTCTAATTCCTTTTCAGATGTATACCTAGATGGGTCATGTGTACAACTCGTAATTAAATTCCCAGTGTTTACTTGTTTTTTTCCTAGCATGGATTATCTAAGATATGATTTTCTCAAGCCTGGTTTTCTCACATTCTAAAAAAACCCTGAAAGCATGAATGTTATAAACGCTTAGCATAAACTGCTAATAACCCTCTTGTTCCGGTTTCCCCTCATAGAACTTTACTTAAGGAAATGACACCTTCCAGGACTCATGTTGCTTCTGATAGTCTTCCACCTGGTTCATATATAATTATTTTGGGGAGTTAACAATCTTTAGGTGCAGAGTGAAGTACTAGTGGATAGGACAGAAACTGTGATTGCCTTAAAAATCAGTCTTACAAAGAAGAGTGAAATTGCCATTTTCTCCTTTGGAAAGATCTTGTGGCCTGGCGTGGTGGCTCATGCCCATAATCCCAGCACTTTGGGAAGCTGAGGTGGATGGATCACCTGAGGTCAGGAGTTCGAGATCAGCCTGGCCAACATGGTGAAATCCTGTCTCTACTAAAATATAAAATTAGCTGGGCATCATGGTGCATGCCTGTAATCCCAGCTACTCAGGAGACTGAGGCAGGAGAATCACTTGAACCCAGGAGGCAGAGGTTGCAGTGAACCGAGATTATGCCATTGCACTCCAGCCTGGGCAGAAAGGGTGAAACTCTAAGAAAAACAAAAAAATAGGAAAGATCTTGTGTGGTCTGACTAAACCATGAGGGAGGTAGTATTGTGAACCTTTGATTCCATCTCACAGCCCAGTTCTCTAGGAGTTTAACTTAGTGAAAATTCTTCTCAAAGCTTAATAATAGTTTGATCAGCAGAGCTAATTTTAATCCACTTCACCCCAGAAATATTTAAATGGAAAATACAGAGAGATTGAAGACTAGATGACATTTTTTATTATGTGTTCGCATTATTTCACATCTTCAGTATAACAATACTAATACAACCACTGCTAAAACTACTGAAATAGTTTAGCATATATCTATACTTTCTTTTTTAACCCTTATTTTGTTTTAGTTCTACAAGTTTAAATGTTCTCCACCAATCCTTTTATTGATGACTCTCTAGTCTTTCTGGTTGTTTAAAGCTTGTTCTTTTGTAGACTCCTTAGGAAAGGCTTTGGAAAACAATTATTTCCCAAGTTTTCACATTCTATACTGGTTTATGCCTTTATATTCACAATTAAGTTTTGTTGGGTGTAAAATCCTTGGCTCACATTTTTTTTTCCATCAGGATATCAAATGTGGTATAACACTTTCTTAAGGCATAAGGGAATGCTGTTGAAAAGTCTGGTGATTATCTAATTTTCTTTCCCTTTTTGAGTAGTTTTTGTTTAGATAACTAAAGGCATTTGCTTTTTATGGTTCAGTAATTTTACTAAAATTTATATTAACGTTGGTCTTTTTGGATGAATACTCTTTGGTGCTCTTTCAACATTAATTTCAATTTTTTTTTTGTTAATTTCAGGATTTTTCATTAAGTAGAGTTTTTAGTATTCTTTTCCTTTGATTTTTGTCTTCAAGGACTACTATTGTTCATATGTTGGATATTCTTATCTTCACTATTTACCACTTCATCTAGAATCCTTTTTATTTGTTTTATTTTTTAAGATGTAGTTTTGCTCTTGTTGCCCAGGCGGGAGTGCAATGGTGCAATCTTGGCTCACTGCAACCTCCGCCTCCCAGGTTCAGGCAATTATCTTGCCTCAGCCTCCCAAGTAGCAGGGATTACAGGCATATGCCACCACGCCTGGATAATTTTGTATTTTTAGTAGAGATGGGGTTTCTCCATGTTGGTCACGCAGGTCTCAAAACTCCCGACCTCAGGTGATCCACCCGCCTCAGCCTCCCAAAGTGCTGGGATTACAGGCATAAGCCACTGCACACAGGCCTCCTTTTTATTTTTTAAAATATTTACATTCTTCTTACTCTTTTCTTCTTATCTAATATGTATTTGCTCTTGTGTTCTTTCTAGTTTGGTCTTAGTATCCAAAAACATTTTTATATCATTACTGAGATATGGTTCAAATTAGATACAATTCCCCTACTTAAAATGTACAATTCAATGTTTTTAGGTTTATTCATAAGTATGTGCAACCATAACCACAATCAACTTTAGAATATTTTAGCATTTCAAAAACACCCTCCCAACCCTTTAGTTATCATCCCCTACTGCTGTATCCCCTGAGCAACCACTTAATTACTTTATGTCTCATAGATTTGCCTGTTCTAGATATTTCATAGGAACAGAATCCCCTGAGCTGTATCCCCTGAGCAACCACTTAATTACTTTATGTCTCATAGATTTGCCTGTTCTAGATATTTCATAGGAACAGAATCACTGCTGATAAAGACATACCCAAGACTGGGAAGAAAAAGAGGTTTAATTGGACTTACAGTTCCACATGGCTGGGGAGGCCTCAGAATCATGGCGGTAGGTTAAAGATACTTCTTACAGGGTGGCAGCAAGAGAAAATGAGTAAGATGCAAAATCGGAACCCCCTGATAAAACCATCAAATTTCATGAGGCTTATTCTCTACCATGAGAACAGTAGAGGGGAAACCACTCCCATGATTCAAATTATTTCCCACCAGGTCCCTCCTATAACACATGGGAATTATGGGAATACGATACAAAATGAAATTTGGGTGGGTACACAGAGCCAAACCATATCATCCTACTCCTGGCCCCTCCAAATCTTATGTCCTCACATTTCAAAATCAATCATGCATTCCCAACAGTACTCCAAAGTCTTAACTCATTTCACCTTTAATCCAAAAGTCCATAGTTCAAAAGTATCATCTGAGACAAGGCAAGTCCCTTCCACCTACGAGCCTGTGAAATCAAAGGCAAGCTAGTTACTTCCTACATACAATGAGGGTACAGGTATCGGGTAAATACAGCCATTCCAAATGGGAGAAATTGGCCAAAACAAAGGGGTTACAGGGCCCATGCAAGTCCAAAATCCAGCAGGGCAGTAACATTTTAAAGCTCCAAAATGATCTCCTTTGACTCCAGGTCTCACATTCAGGTCACACTGATGCAAGAGGTGGGTTCTCATGGTCTTGGACAGCTCTGGCCCTGTGGCTTTCAGGGTACAGCCTCCATCCTGGCGCTTTCATGGGCTAGTGTTGAGTGTCTGCAGCTTTTCCAGTCACCTGGTACAAGCTGTAAGTTGATCTGCCATTCTGGGGTCTGGAGGATGGTGGTCCTCTTCTCACAGCTCCACTAGGCGGTGTCCCAGTAGGGACTCTGTGTGGGGGCTCCAACCCCACATTTCCCTTCTGCACTGCCCTAGAAGAGGTTCTCCATGACAGCCCTGCCCCTGCAGCAAACTTCTGCCTGGACATCCGGGCATTTCCATGTGTCTTCTGAAATCTAGGCAGAGGTTCCCAAACCCCAATTCTTGACTTTTGTGCACCTGCACGCTCAGCATCACATGGAAGTTGCCAAGGCTTAAGGCTTTCACCCTCTGAAGCCATGGCCCGAGCTTTATGTTGGCCTCTTTCAGTCATGGCTGGAGTGGCTAGGAAACAGGGCACCAAGTCCTTAGACTGCACACAGCACAAGGACCCTGGGCCCTGCACACGAAACCATTTTTTCCTCCTAGATCTCCAGGTCTGCCATAGGAGAGGCTGCCACAAACATCTGTGACATGCCCTGGAGACATTTTTCCCATTGTTTTGGAAATTAACATTCAGCTTCTTGTGACTTACGCAAATATCTACAGCCAGCTTGAATTTCTCCTCAGAAAATGGGATTTTCTTTTTTATCGCATTGTCAAGCTGCTAATTTTCTGAACTTTAATGCTCTGCTTCCCTTTTAAAACTGAATGCCTTTAATAACACTTGAGTCACCTCTTGAATGCTTTGCTGCTTAGAAATTTCTTCCACCAGATACCCTAAATCATCTCTCTCAAGTTCAAAGTTCCACAAATCTCCAGGGCAGGGGCAAAATGCCACCAGTCTCTTTGCTAAAACATAACAAGAGTCACCTTTGCTCCAGTTCTCAATAGGTTCCTCATCTCCACCTGAGACCACCTCAGCCTAGATTTCATTGTCCATATAATTATCAGTATTTTTGTCAAAGCCATTCAACAAGTCTTGAGGAAGTTGCAAACTTTCCTATTTTCCTGTCTTCTTCTGAGCCCTCCAAACTGTTTCAATCTCTGCCTGTTACCAAGTTCCAAAGTTGCTTCCACATTTCCCAGTATCTTTTCAGCAACACCCTACTCTACTGGTACCAATTTACTGTATTAGTTCATTTTCACGCTGCTGATAAAGACTTACCTGAGACCGGGAAGAAAAAGAGGTTTAATTGGACTTACAGTTCCACATGGCTGGGGAGGCCTCAGAATCATGGCAGGAGGTGAAAGGCACATCTTACATGCTGGCCGCAAGAGAAAATGAGTAAGACGCAAAAGCAGAAACCTCTGATAAAACCACCAGGTCTCGTGAGAGTTATTCACTACCATGAGAACAGTATGAGGGAAACTGCCCCCATGATTCAGATTATCTCCCACTGGGTCCCTCCCACAACATGTGGGAATTATGAGAGTACAATTCAAGATGAGATTTGGGTGGGGACACAGAGCCAAACCATATCAGGTTGTTTGGGTTTCCACATTTTAACTCTATGTATAATGCTGCACCCAAGATAACTCCTCCATTCCATGAATGGGGGCTATGCATCAAGAGAACTTTAACAAAGAAAGCAAACTCATTTTTGAATTTTAAGATCACTCTGGCATTCTGTTTTGAGGTCTGCTAAATTTGCAATGCTGGGTGAAGATGACTTCACAATAAAACCAATGTTGAAAGACACCAAGAGACTGTAACTAGTTGAAATTTCATTTTTCCTTTATAATTTATTTGCCACAATTTTAAATACTGTAGACCATACAGAATGTTTTTTCTGCCAAAAATGGGGGTCTGTTAACAGACTCAGTCCCAACCTCATTCAGGACAAGCTTGCGTCCTTCAGAAGTAGATCACAGAGCAGGTTGCACCCATGCCTTTGCCAGCATAAAGAAGTTGACTCTTTGCGGGTATCAAGGCTCCTCTCATGTTCTGTCACATTAACGTAAAAACTGAGAGCCCATAGCAAGGGCCCCTATCTAGACAAAACCTGATCATCTTATCTTGGACAAATTTCTCTGTTCTTTCTATAGCTTGTGGTAGACAAAATGTGCCCATCAAAGATGTCAACACCCAAATACCTGCAACCTTTGAATATATTATATAGGAAAAGGGACTTTCCAGCTATAATTAAGATTATAGATTTTTAAAATAGGAAGATTACCCTGGATATCTGGGTGGGTCCGATCTAACCATATGAGATCTTAAAAGCAGTGAACTCTCGCTAGGGCAAGAAAGATATGGCAGAAGGGGAATTCAGAGAGATTGAAAGCATGAGATTCATCTACCAATGCTGAAGAGGCCCACAGGGGAATTCAGAGAGATTGAAAGCATGAGATTCATCTACTAATGCTGAAGAGGGCCACACAGAAAGTATGAGAAGGAATGTGGGCAGATTCTAGAAACAAAGACTAGCCCACAGCTAACAGCCAGCAAGGAAATGGGGAACTCAGTCCTACAACTGCAAGGAACTGAACTGAAATCTACCACCAACCTAAATGAAGTTGAAAGAACTCTTATCTAGGGACTTCCCCTTACAGTCTCTAGCTAAGAGCCCAGCTCAGTTGACAATCTGATTTCAGCCTTGTGAGGCTTTAAGCAGGGGACCCAGTTGAACCATATTGTACCTAGATTTCTGTGCCACGGAACTGTGAGATAATAAATGGGTGTTGTTTTAAGCTACTAAGTTTGTAGTAATTTGATCTAGCAGTAATAGAAAATTAATATGTAAACCTTTTTTTTTTTTTTTTTTAAAAGCAGAATTTGCAAGCAAATGTGACTTTGAGCATAATTCTTTTTCTTCATTGCAAATATGTGATGTAGGAGTCTTTTAGTTATTTGCTTGAGAATAACAGTGATAAACTATACTTCTATCTGTGCTCCTCAGTATTTGGTTGCATTAATTGGAAGACTGAGGTTCTACTTAGGGGATTTTTTCCTCCAAGTCCTTCTAGAATACCCTAGAATGGAGAATGAATTTTAGGAGATCAGGACTGCAGCATGAAGATGAATTATCAAGCTACTGTACTAATCCAGCTGAGGGATGATAGGACAGGGTTAGCTGGTATGGAAGAGTCAGACTGGAGAGGGGGATATTTATGTTGATTCCTAATAGTTCAAGAATGGCTTACTAGGTGGACGGTGGGGTGGTAAGGAGGAGGTAAATGGATATTGAAAACTGAAGCTCTGCTGATTCTCAAATTAGTCACTCCCATTTGGGAATTAACATGTAAGTTGATAAAATCATGTCAGTGGAGATTACCCAGGAGATACTTATGGATTTGTTTTAAAATATAAAACATAAAAGGAGGAATGAGGAAGTATTACATACAGCGATTAATAGAGAGGAGATTCTGTTGCTTGGGACTGGAGAGAGAAAAATGAAGAGGCTTAGAAAAGATGAGAAAGATGTTGGCTGAATTAGATTTGATACATCGCAAATGAACTTAAAAAAGTGGTATATGGTCTCTTTTTGTATTAGTCAATTTTCACACTGCTCTAAAGAACTACCTGAGACTGGGTAGTTTATGAAGAAAAGAGGTTTAACTGACTCACAGTTCTACACGGTGGGAGAGGCCTCAGGAAACGTACAATTATGGTAGAAAGCAAAGAAGCAGCAAGGACCTTCTTCATAAGACAGCAGGAGGTGGGGAGGAAGTGCCACACTTTTAAACCATCAGATCTCATAAGAACTCACCATCACAAGAACAGCATGGGGGCAATCACTCCCATGATCCAATCACCTCCCACCAGGACCCTCCCTCGACATGTGGGAATTACAATTTGAGATGAGATTTGGGTGAGGACACAGAGCCAAATCACCTCACCCTTAGATTGGAAAAAAAATAAGTAGTGGGAAGGCATGAAGCTAGAAAAAGCTCTTGTTACCTACCAGCGAACACTGCCAGTCCAGGACAGCTAGATTCCTGTCTTTGTGAATAATGATGATGGTGGAATTGGCTACAGAAGACAGAGGCACAGGGAAAAGTGATAGTGTTCAAACCAGCTATGTGCACATAGGAAGCTTCACAAGCTGGTGTCTGTAGTTTGGGGAATATTAATATTGTGTTCCTCTTGGGTATATTATTCATTCAGTAAAAATTTAGCTATTTATAAAATCATTTACAGAGAAATTGGAGATTCTTTCAATCTCCTATTTCTGTGAAAACATTGCAGTTGTACTAAGACTGAAAAATCCTAGTTAGCTTATACAGGAGCTACCTATGCATTGAACAGTTTCCTCATGAAAAGCTCACAATGACTATTCTTCATACCCTTTGCTGATCTGAATCTGTGAAAGTATTTGACAGGTGCACAAAGCAGCAGAGAGAGAAAATAAGTTGCCCACACACAAGAACCTAAGAGGGCTCCCTGCTGAACCACCAGTTGTGGAGAAAGCAGCCAACCAGGGGAAGAACCATTCAGGACAGAATGTTCCTCATTTTTCCAGCTGATTTAGATGAACTAAAAAAGAATTAAAATTCAACCCATTCCAAAGCACCAAATAATAATTTTAGGCTGTGGAACTAGATGCTATACTTTCACTCTCTTTCCTAACGTCTTTGTTTTTGGCTAAGAATAAAAACAGCTGTCAAGGTTCCCTCTCTCAAGCTCTGTTAACACACCTAGTCCAAAGACGCATGTGTGTCATGTCTCTAATATATTTTATTGCTGTCTTTTAAAATTCCCCTTAAGACGCTGGCCCAATATTGTTGCATTCAACCACATTTCTATCACAAGGATTAAAAAGAACTTAAGTATAATTTTATTCTATTCTGCATCAGTGCCACATACACACACAAAAATGTTTGGATAAGTTAATAAGTTATAACATTCTATGTTTTAATATTAATAACAAGGACATAAATGATCATTTCCTGAGTTAACAGTGCAATGTAAAATTTAATCTGTATTGCTAATAAGACATTTTACAGCATAGAAACATGATCGAAGTGATCATTTACTTTATCATGTCATAAAACACAAGTGCTTATTGTAGAACAGTGATATAATTTAAATGGCAAGGAAATTTGTGATTCATAACAAAGAATCCTGTATGTATTTGTTGCCATGATTAACTGTCCAGGTCAAATATCAGTAGTAAAATAAGTTATGGTACAAAAGAAAGCCAAGAAGTTACCTATACAGAAGGAACATTTGATTTCATTTAAGAAACTGAAGACTGGATTCTAGTTAACCTTTCATTATGTACAAAAATGTTCTCTTAAAAAACCCTAAGCAATCACAAATTTAGATAAACTAGTTGAATAAAGGACAATGACAGCTCTTCATTATGCTGTAAAACTATGGATCTCATTTTTGGAAAAGTTGAGATCCTGCAGCAACCTGAAAAACAAACAAAAAGCACATGTTTCTAAGGGAAAATGTTTTAAAATGAAGGAATAAGAGCAGCTTACCACCATAATCATGATACTTTTTCATTCTCCCCATTTACTATGCAGTTTTGTTTAATAAAAAAACACTATCACTTCTTAAAAAATTAGTGATTAGTAACTCCTAAATATCATGAAATATCTAAGCAGTGCTCAAATTTTCAACTATATCATAAATGCCATAATTATAAAAAATAGTTTCAATCAGGACCCAATTAAAATTTACTCATTATGATTGGCTGATAAGTCTTTCAGGCATCTTTTGATCTATAAGATCCCCCAGATCCCCACTCCATCCTGCAATTTATTTGTTGACAAAAATCAGATTTTTATTTGTTGAGTCTCCTAAAACCTTCATTTTTCTACATCCCTGTGGTATTGCTTAATAATATGTATCTACATCCTCATATTTTCCATAACTTAATAAATGGATCTAGAGGCTTGATCAGACACAGGTTCAAATCTTTTTGACAAGACTATTTCATAGGTAATGTTCCTCTATCTGGAGGCATGTAATAAATGGTTGCCTCTCTTTTTGGATGCTAGGTACCATTATGATCTATGTATAGATCCATTAGTTAATTAAGCACTGCAATTGGTGATATTCTACTTCTATCATTCTTTATTCATTAATCAGCTGAGGAATCCTATAAAGAAAAATGTCTGCTGATTTATTATGTGGTTATTCAGTAGTATGGCTCATATAGCAAAGGGAGCATAAATGTTTGATTTTTTCCCCCTTTATTCACCAGTTTTCAAAGAAAGGAATTGATTCCCCTACTATTCTATCTTCATTCTCCCCCTACTGAACAGGAAAAGTAGAAATATTGCATATTATTCAACTAGGAAAATAGTACAATAACTACTTTTTTACCAATTACTCTATTATATGTAGTCACTTTGCCAGGCACTTCACATACTTATGTATTATTATTTATTCATTTTTACAGACAAGTGCACTAAAACTTAGAAAGGTTAAGAACTGCCCTAGGACACCCAGCAAATGATTGTAAGATGCCTATAAGTGGTAGACCTGGGATTTAAACTCCAGCTGGCAGCTCCCAGAGGGGATACACATACTCACACAAAGGGCCAGTAGGGCACAGGAGTTGAGGCCAACACAGTGCAGCAGTAAAGCCTCTCAGTGTCTGGGCCCACGCTACCATTCTATCCTGTTCTGCCAGGCAAGCAGCTTCACCCGAGCCAAACCAGTCTAGGCTTTTGTATAAATCTGCACCCTTAACGCATCTGCTAGTTCTCTCTGCCTGTACTATCCCCTTCTCCATCTCTCTTGACTGCTAGATTTTAGTCCACATGCAGTGCACATGACTTTTTTGACCATGCAGCTCCTGTCTCTCCAACACACACATCGCTAGGTAAAAGTAACCCATCTCTCCCAGAATTCCCATTACATCTTGATTTTATCTCTAGTAAGATATTTATGGTGTTCTGAGTCATACTTTAGTTATCAGTATGTGCATCTGTTTCTACCACTAGATAGTGTGGTCCTTGAAAGGAGAGATTGTTTTACTAATCTCTGTAATAAAGTGCATATTTAGTGGAGAAAGAACCATTATTGGCCAAGTAATGATAAGCTGCTTATGTCTATTTTTTTTTTTTTTTTTTGGAGACGGAGTCTCGCTGTGTCACCCAGGCTGGAGTGCAGTGGCCCGATTTCGGCTCACTGCAAGCTCCGCCTCCCGGGTTTACGCCATTCTCTTGCCTCAGCCTCCGAGTAGCTGGGACTACAGGCGCCCGCCACCACGCCCGGCTAGTTTTTTGTATTTTTAGTAGAGACGGGGTTTCACCATGTTAGCCAGGATGGTCTCGATCTCCTGACTTCGTGATCCACCCGCCTCGGCCTCCCAAAGTACTGGGAGCTTATCTCTATTTTTTTAAAAATAGGTATTCTGAGTCTTTCTCTGTTATCATACTATACAAATTGACAAATGTTTACCAAATATGGAGAATATGTCTGGGATGGCTATATTTATAATATAATCTATGTAGCAGACATGAGATTAACTTTGGAGAACTCTAGGAGTGGACATTACAAGAAAGACTCATTTTTCAGAACAGCAAAAACTATAATAAGAAACCCATATAATTGCCAATCAAGAAAAATATACCATATCCATTAAGATGATGAGGATAAGGAAACCAAAGAAACGAGTCCTAACTGAAAGTCACAAGGGTAGCTACTATGAATTTTAAGTACTGATTTGAATCAAGTTACATCTCAAAATGCAACTCTATGTAGTATGTTCAGGAGTGAGTAATAGCAGGAATCCATATGTAATGATTAATAAATACTCCTGAGCAACTCTGGGTAAGCCAGTTAGCACAGCATTGAAAGACTGGCTCTGAGGTAAAAGTGAGAAAAGAAAGCTATATAGGTTCTGGTCAATTTTTTTTTTTGAGATGGAGTTTCGCTCTTGGTGCCCAGGCTGGAGTGCAATGGCATGATCTCGGCTCACTGCAACCTCTGCCTCCTAGGTTCAAGCGATCCTCCTGCCTCAGCCTCCCAAGTAGCTGGGATTACAGGTGCCCACCACCATGCCCGGCTAATTTTTGTACTTTTAGTAGAGACGGGGTTTCACCATGTTGGCCAGGCTGGTCTCGAACTCCTGACCTCAGGTGATCCAGCTGCCTTGGCCTCCCCAAGTTTATGGTCAATTTTAAAAATGCAAAAATGATTCTAATTATTTAAAAGTATTATTATACTGCAATCTATAAAGTACTCACTGAGATATTTCTAAAATAGCAGAAGCAATACAATAGAAGACAGTACAGCTCTTAGCCTTTTTTCCTAAAAATTTTATATTCAACCTGTATAATGTTAGTTTTCATTGTAAATTTAATAGTTTTGCTAGAGCTTTAAAAGAGCAAAAGTTTACATAGAAACTTGAAAAAAGTTGAGAGAGTTTAATTAAAAGAACATTTTTCTTAAAGCATTAAAACACAGAAATATATTTAATTAAAAATAAAATACATTTTAAATTCAACATGGAAGAAAAAAAGTTTTTAATGCCTTTATTTACTGATTGGGGGGTCAATCTTTTCTATAATTAAAATTTTAAATAAAAAAGCAAGATATAAGACTATCTATGAGGACTAAACTCTGACTTTTTTTTATCTTGCTCAAATTCCTATCTAAGGGGTCTAGGAAGTCATGCCCTACAAACTATAAATTCTCATCAGATGTGTTTTATTTAACCCTATATATCATGACTTACTTTCCAACCTGACTCTGGCATAACATTACGAGACAAGGAAGAAAATCAAAATATTTTACCCCAAAACAAGTTTCTTTGCCATATCTTGAAATGGTCCTGCAAATCTGTCCTTTGTGGGGGAAAATCTGCATCTGTAAAGAATCCTATCAACATAGCTAGATCTTTTTGTTCCGGGCCAGTCCAATCCTGAAGAGGTTAACTAAGAGTCTAGTACCTTTTAAAGGTCTGAATAGGCAACACTGTCATCTATTATCTCTAAGGGCAGCCACTGTAAGACTTCCAAAGAACCTTGGTCCCCACAATCTTTTATCTTAACCTGAACATTCCCTTTCTATGGATCTCAGGTCTTTAGACAAACTCAACCAATTGTCAACCAGAAAATGTTTAAATTTACCTATAGCCTGGAAACTTGTGCTCCCCGGCAACCCAGATTTGAGTTGTTCTGCCTTTCTGGACCAATCAATGTATTTCTTAAATGTATTTGATTGATGTCTCATGCCTCCCTAAAATGTATCAAACCAAGCTGTGCCCTGACCATCTTGGGCACATGTTCTCAGGACCTCCTGAGAGCTCACAGGCCATGGTCACTCATATTTGGCTCAGAATAAATCTCTTCAGAGATTTTGGAGAGTTTGACTCTTTTCGCCAACATCTAGAAATGTTAGGCTTAGTCACCTGCTAAATAAGAATAGGGCACTTAAAACAGCTATATTTTAAAATCATCTAGAAATCCAACAGGGGCTACCTTTAACCAAATATTTTAAAGTGCCATTTTAAAGCTAAATCACATCAAAGTGAGTTTCAAACAGGATCGCTACTACCACTGCTTTTTCATGATCCAGGCTCCAACTATTAGTCTTGCCTTATTTGTGTTCTAGTCTCCCCTTTTTGTCTTGCTGCTTGGCTTTTGACCACATATATTATTTACTAACTTTCACTCAGTTACAGAGAATGAAGATCAAAAGCTACAATGAGATGAACATTCCTTATTAATTACTATATATTATAAAGCTTTGATGGAAGAAGAGGTTGGGCCTAATGTCCCAAATAAGATTGTGGCACCAATCTTGTGAGTGTATCCATATTGGCAGCCATTAGCAGAGAACACTGATTGCTAGCTGTAACTTACTTTTGTGTTTTATCTAACAATATGCATAATCCTAGCCTCCAGCTCAAACTATACGAAGATTTAAAGACTTTGTTATTTTCTAAAACTGTAAGATTATTAAAATGCAGGTTCATATAAATAGGAAGAACTGAGAGATATTTGTCATGAAGTATCTTCATTTCAGTATTGGGCAGTCTGTTTCCTACTACACTGCTACTCACCTTACTCCTTGTTCTGTAAATGGCACTGGTCCACAAATGCAGACGAGAACTTTGGATTTGTCCAAATTTCTTTTCAAAAATTCAGAAAGAAGAGCTGGTGAAATATGTCCCTGTTTGCCATTCCATTCAGAAATAGGTGCTGAGAGAACAAATTCAACATCCAGTCTAGGGAAAAGAAAAACAGTTTTTTACAGTTTATTATTTTAAACATATTATTAACATGTTTCAAGTTCAATAATATATTTCTCCCCTAAAGAATAATTTAATATATAAAGATTGATACACTTGCTAGAAAAACACTGAAAAAATTATAAGATTTAACAAAAACATATAGGTAAATCTATATTTGCTAAGGATTAGCTTTTCCTATACAGTAAGGAATGTAATTTGGCATTTTTTTTTAAGTTGAACTAAGTAACCAAGCATGGTAGCTCACACCTGTAATCCTAGCACGTTGGGAGGCCACGGCGGGAGGATTGTTTGAGAACAGGAGTTTGAGATCAGCCTGGGCAACAAAGTGAGACCTAGTTTCTACAAAAAACAAACAAACAGAAACTCTCCCCAAAAAACAAAAACAACTGTTTAAACTTAGCCAGGTGTGGTGGTATGTGCCTATGGTCCTAGCTATTTGAGAAGCTGAGGCAGGAGGATCGTTTGATCCAGTGAGCTATGATTGCACCAGCCTGGGCGACAGAGCAAGAACCTGTCTCTTAAAAAAGAAAGTAATTAAAAATAAATATATAAATGAAATAGAGATTTCAAGGGATCTCAGAGAACTCCACATTTCTATTAATAATTAACTGGTATTGAAAAAAAAGAACAAATATTGCATGTTCTCACTTATAAGTGGAGCTAAACCCTGTGTATACAAGAACATAAAGATGAGAACAATAGACACTGGGGACTCCAAATGGAGGGAGGTGTAGGGAAAGGGGCAAGGGCTGAAAAACCTCCTAGTGTGTACTATGTTCACTGTCTAGCTGACAGGATCAACAGAAATCCAAATTTCAGCATCACACAATATATCCTTGAAACAAACCTGCACATTTACCCCCGAACCCAAAATAAACAATAATAATATGCTGGTATAAATCACAGTAAATAGCAATTACCAGTGACACATGTATTTTAATCTCTGGCTCAAACCTCTCCAAAGATTTCCAGACCCTTACAACCAGTTTGATTAAGAAGCCTATTTGACTTCTTACTGTCACTGTCTCAAAGGCCCTCAACCTCAACCTCAACCTCATGATCTCTGTAACTGGCACCACAGTCTGCTTGGTTTTACAAGCCAGAAACCTGGGATTTATCCTGGGAACCTCTCTCTATCTCACCCTCCATATCCAATTCATCACCAAGTCCTGGCTCTAACTCTGTTTACCTCTTAGCCTTCACTGCCATAACACTGCCTGTTCTCTTTCTTCTTTCTGTAATGAGATTACCACTCCCATTCTTCAGTTTTCACCTCAAGCATCAGGGAATCCACAGGGAAGTATTGCACCTCCACAAGGCTGAGGTCCTTTGTTTCATGTGTTGTAGCAATGTTTTCTTTTTCCTTTTCTTCATAGCCATTTACTTCAGATTTTAAATATGTTGTCACTAAGCTGATTACCTATTGTCTACCTTCTCCAATAGACTCTAAACTCCATGAGAACAGGGACCATGTCTGCTTTGGCTATCACTGTATCCCTAACACACAGGAGGTACCCACATACTACGGAATGAAAAAGATGAAAGCAAAAGGGTACAGGATTAAAACAAAGTCTCACAATGTAACAACAGACCATTTCTTCCCATGGGCTTAGTAATCTGTTATACAAATTGCTGGTAAAAAGCCACAGTAAATTCAAAATTCTATGTTGTACCTGCTCTGTCTGCTCTGTTTTAGCAAACAAAACTAATTCTTACCATTTAAATAGCATCAAATTAAAAGCAGTTCTACATGTTCCAGTGAGTAACTGAGTAGCAGGAATTCATGATACATTAATTTAAACCACATGAAAAAGCTGAAGTGAACAGTTTCTCTTATGAGAGGACAAAGGAAGTAAATATGACAACAGAAACAAGGTATGGCTGGTACAGCTGCCCTCACATTGCTGTGCCTCAGCTGGATTAAGTTTCCCAAGAACTAAGGACCCTGGCACAAGCAGCACAGACCAAATAAGAGACCAAATAAGAGCAGCAGCAGAGGGCGAGAGAACCAGCCTCAGCTCTCCACACAGACTCCAGCCTCTAGGTCTTGTCCATTTGTGGAATGAGGTTGGGAAATGAGTCATCTCTTACATTTCTAATATTCTTTGATTTTATATTAAAAACACCTCCAGGACTATGTTTTATTTCTTATCTTCAAGCTTCCCATTTAGTATCAGCAGCAACGCTAATCCACTCTATAGCCTCCCCAAAGGCTAATCCACAAAATAGCCTCCCCAAAGATATTCGCTATTTTTACCTTCCAAGCATTTAAAACTAAGATAGTTTTAAATAACCTCAGGATGTGATATTTGCTTACTGCTTCATGAGGGCAAGGTCCTTGTCTGTCTTGTTCAATACTGTATCCAGGCTTTGCTCAATAAAGTACACAAAAAAAAATGCCTTTTGAATAAAGAAATGTATTTACAAAGAGGCCATGTTGGCTAAAAATAAAAATTGTACTTAAAAGAACAAAGCCATGTGCTGGCATCCATAAAATTACATATAAAAATGTATGTGAATTCATAAGTGTGTTTTTCTGGAAAAAAAAAATCATAATCTTTCTTTCATCAGATCAAAGGGCCAAAAGCAGCCATAAAACCACTGTCTTAAATTTCCAATTATACATAGATACTTGAATAAAATGTGGCAACTGTCCTGTTAAATTAAAGGATAAAAGATGCTCTCCTGTGGCTCTATTTCAAATGAGCCTATAACTGGAATAAAACTGCTAAATTAATACTGAAGTTTCTGTAGTCTGCCACAAGCACCTAGTCATAATTTTCCTTCACTGGGATGCTTTATAAAAAAGCCTAATCAGTGATATATTTTCTGCAGGTATCTACTAAATGGTGATAAATAACAGATCCTTACATAAACGGTATAAACTTCTCATGTATTTTGTATTTATTCACATAATGGTCCCTTGACTATAATTTATGCACTCAATGGAAAAGGTGAACAGAAATAATGGCTGCAATTTAAGGATATTGTAAAGAGGCTGTTATCCTGCTTATCTCCTTTTCATAGGCTGAGAAAAGAGCTTAATCTGGAACAGGAGCATTCCCAAGTTAAGACTCAATAATTCTTTAATGAAAGATTTTTTTATATCAAAATATAGATAATTCCTGTGGAATCCTCTCTCCTGGGTTTTCTGAATGAAGGTCAACTTACTATCTAAAGTAATTACAGCTTTGAGATGCTGGAGACATGTGAGGGCACACAGTAAACATCCTGAAATTCCTCTATAATTTCAAAAGTGCCAAAAGGGGTTGGGACTCTTGAAAAGGTTACCTGAAAATAAATTCAGATTAACCCATAAAATACAAACTAATATGAAAGAGGGAGAGAACAGAACTGCTTCTGATGAGTGCCTATGCGATCTTAAATGTCAGTCTAAGTAAGCTTGTCAAAAAATTTATTTTAAGGTAGGCTGACAGTGATTTAAATGACAAGTCTTGAAATACAAATGTATTCGTTTAGTCTAAATCATTAGCAGTCATCCAACGACTTATTCCTTCCTCCTCTAGCCAATCAGCTTCGGCAACTTACCTCCTTCATATTTCTCACACAAAGTCCCTTACCTTCCCATTTTTAATGTCACAACTCCAGATCAGGTTCTTATATCTCTTCTCTAAAATATTACATTAACAGCCTTAGCCCTTAATCTATTTGATATACCATTGTCATATTAGTTCCCCTAAAAATCCTGATACAACTTTGCAACCTTTTTGCTTAAAAGCTTCAGTGATTCCTCACTGCCCACAGATTAGTATTTCAGCTTTTCCTATTTTTTTTTTTTTTCTAGCTAAAGAAAATGTCTGCAACTGTAGTAAAAATTGCTATGTGCTCACAGGAAAAAAATCTCACAAAACTAGGAATCAAAATTAGATAAAATATATATAATTATGGAAACATTTTTAAAAATGAATCTAATGAAAGGAAACACTAGTATGCCTCCAGATGTTAGCAGTTATTCCATGAAAGCAGGCTAACTATCAAATAAATCTGTGACATACTGGGTTCAAAAAAGTTAAATATATTTCCTTAGAATTTCAGAAAGCCTTCAATATGCTAAGTTCAGAGTAAATCTTCAAGAAGGCATATACTATTTCCCAAATGTATTCAATCATAGAGTCCATTCTGGGGAATACATTAACATTTCAAAGCACATATTCCAAGCAACACAACATCTGAGGAACATCTCCTGGAAGAAACCGAAAGTGCTATAAGGTTCCAGAATAGTGGGCTGCCTATCTGGGTACATAAGAGGTTAGGGAAAAAGAAACAGTTTCAGGTATCCTCTTTCATTTACTTCTGCTTCTGGCATCATCAGCTTAAATGGAACTGCCATATTGCTAGCCCCAATACTGACATCAGAAGACAAAAACATATAGTTCACAGAGCCTGTCAGCACTACAGGGAGATGAGCCGCAGAGTGTCACTGTGCCTTCTTCCTGTGTCTATCTGATATATAATATTTACTTCACATATGGATTACATTCAAGGTCTTTCATCACCTGATTTTAGCCTAGCTTGTTTCCTCAACTGTAAACAAAAAGGATCAGAAATGATAACTGTGAAGATTCCTTCTAAAACTGATATAAGGTTTAATGGGTTTATTTTTAGTTATTCTGCATCATTCTCCTTCATGCACAGTATTTATTTCAAAAAAACGACTCTACTCTGTTATTAAAACACTAGAATATACTGGCCCTCATGTCTTATGCAATCCCACTACCCAAATTTATTTTCCCACTCAAAGAAATGCTAATCATTTCCCAAAGCCCAGCTCAAAAGCCCCTTCTTCCATGAAGCTCTGATATTCCTACCCTCACAAAAATGGAATAAAATTCTTTTCACTAGATAGCTACGGTATGTTTTTTGTTCCTCTCAAGGCACAGACTTTACAGTCACTGATGTACTTTAGAACTTCACCACCACTAGGGTAGTCTTACTGATTTCTTATCTTTTTG